TTATCATTTGGTTTTTGTTTTCAGAATGGATCCTGAGAAGTTTTATGGCTTATCTAAATCCGTTAACTGTATTCCTGGTGATGGAGAATTAAGTGAAGACGATTTATTTTGAGAGTCAGATAATAAGTATATTCCTTTAAATGAAGAACTAAGTGAAGACGAATTAGGTTCAGATTATGAAAATAAATATATTCCTTGATGTCGTCAGTTCCAGTTTGATGATAGTGATAACAATGAACAAAGGAATTTGAATGAAAATACACCTATTTGCTCTGGTATAAATAAAATTGTCAACAAAAAAAGAAACCTAAATTTTTTTTATGGGAATCAGGCCATTTGAAGCATTTTAATAAAAGTGATTATGCATTTAAAGGCGTTGTAGATCTACCAGAATGTATCCTTGAGTTGGAAACTCCTGCAGATTTTTTCTTGTTTTTGTTCCCAATAGAACTAATATCCATGTTCCATGAGAACTGTAATATTTATGTCATTGGTGAAATTACCATCATCGATACTTTACTGGAATGCATCCGTAGGTCAAACACAAGTATTTGAATCTATGACCTGCAATAGATGGAAAATTTTAAAGAAACACCTTCATTTTAGTGATAATAGTAACTCCGTTCCTGTTGATAATCCGGGCCATGGTAAACTGTTTAAAATTCGACCTATATTAGGCAAGATTAAACAACGCCTTTTACTGGTTCAAAAGGGAGAACATCTAAGTGCTCAGAAACAAATTATCACTATGAAATGTCTGCACCACCTTAAACAATATAACCCGGCAAAACCTCACAAGAGGGATACAAATATCAAGTTAGTAGTGTATCAGTTTTTAGTTATGACTTTGATATTTTTGCTGGTGAACAAAGCAATACTTTTCCAAATGGAGCGCCTGATTTAGAAGTCAGTGGAAATGTTGTTACTAAGATTGACAGAGACAGTGCCGAAGAACGTTAATCATAAAATATTTTTCGATAACTGGTTTAAAAGTCCAAATTTATAGATTTATCTTATGAAAAATGGATCTTTGCCTTTAGGTACAGACATTGATTATAAACCACTACCTAGATCTACACAGATAGATCAATGTCTGTGCCTTTAGGTACAGACATTGATTATAAACCACTACCTTAGAGTGATACCACTCACTCTAAGGTAAAAACGAATTCAGTGTTAAACTCCGCCCACTTACACCTCTTTGCTCCTCACGCCTAAGTACTACCAGACTGTATGGTGGCGACATTCATTGAAATATTTGCCAATATTGAAAAATAAATTTCAGTTCCCTGGTCCGACAATTCTCTAGTGCATTAGAGGACGATGTAAGGATGGCATTCAGCATTTTTACAAGTAATTTTAACGTGCTTGTAATCTATATTATGAAATTAAGATTTTACTTCAGAAAAAACGCTGAAAATTGATTAATGAAAACAGTAAAGGTTTTCTAAAAATTATTTATTTATCAACACAATACAAAAATATAACAAAATATAAAATACATAATAAAATTAGCAGTGATAAATTACATCTCATGTAAATTACTTTTTTGTAACTTTTCAAACAAATTAATTTCCAGAATTGATGCAAACTAAAATATTTCAAGCTAATATACAGAATTTATTTACAGATTTAGTCCATTCACTCACGGTAAAATATTGCAAAACCTCATAAGTTTAAAGAATTGCTTGGATTGACATGAAATTTGGCTTACGCTTAGCTTAGATGTCAAAGGAAAAAAGATTATGCTTTTGCCCTATGGATCAGTATCACCCCTTATCGGGAGTGAAAAAATATATGTTCAAGATAAGTTAGGAATTGCCTAAAATCAATAATTCTAAGCAACTTTGGTTTTATAGAGGTTTTTCACTATGTTAATACTTTTCGAGTTATGAAAAATAGGTTCTTATTCGTCAAATTTTATGTTGAATATTTCAACGTGAAAAAATAAAAAACTGAAGCAGTTTTCGACGAAAACTGCTTTCAGTCCTTTCGATGAAATCGTCTTCAAAACGATTTTAAAAATGCAAATTACATCGGACTAAATGATTACTTTGCAAGTTTAAATTGGGACTTACTTTTATCAGATGATGTGAATTATAGCTTAGCAGTATTTTATGATTTTATGTTTACAGGTTTTGACTTCTTTGTTCCGATCAAAAATTTTAAAACAAGTTCGTTTCCGATTTGGTTTAATGGTAAATTAAGGAAGTTGATATATTTAAAAAAGAAATTACATAAGCAGTATAAATTGTTTGGTAGAAGGGATGATTATTTAAGATTTTCTCAGTTAAGAAATGAAATTAAACAAGTCTCCTCTCAATGTTATAGTAACTATTTGAATAATATTGAGAATGGGATTCTATCTAATCCTCGACATTTTTGGAAATATATCAATAATAAACGTAAAAGTTTTAATCTGCCATCTAATATGTTCTACGGTGATAGTACAAGTGATAATGCTCAAGACATAGTCAATCTATTTGGTAAGTTTTTCTCAACTACATATTCTAATTCTAAAATTAATCAGATCCCAATTTTTAACTATCAGCAGAGTGTAAATGTGAATAATTATAGTATTGAGGACTCTGACATAATTTGCCAGCTTATGTTCTCAAGCATTGCATTTTCACTCTTGTAAAACCTATCTGCTACTTATTTAATTCCTCATTGAGTACCGGCATCTTTCCTGATCTTTGGAAGACTAGTTATTTAACACCAATTTTCAAGTCTGGTAATAAAAATGATGTTGAGAATTATCGAGCGGTTTGTAGCCAATCTGTATTATCCAAACTTTTTGAGTGTCTTGTAAATAACTTTTTGACATGGAATTGTAAAGATTTAATTGATGTTAGACAATATGGATTTTCTAAGGGTAAGTCTACATGCACGAACTTAATATTGTATACGAATTTTACAGCTAATTCAATGGAACAGAAGGGTCAGGTTGACGCTATCTACACAGACTTCTCAAAAGCCTTCGATACAGTTAACCATGATCTGCTTATTGCTAAACTAAATGGCTATGGATTTGGAGGTAAAATAATTGAGTGGATAGGTAGTTATATATCTGGTAGATGTCAGTATGTTAAATATGGAAATTGTTTATCTCAACGAGTATCTGTAACCTCAGGAGTTCCTCAGGGGTCGCATATTGGGCCTCTCTTATTTAATATATTTGTTAATGATATATCCTCAGTGATTAAAAATAGTAAATTTCCAATGTTTGCTGATGACCTTAAAATATTTCGAATAGTTAATGACCTAGTTGATGCCTCTTTATTACAGAATGACATTAAAAGCTTAGCTAGTTGGTGTGAGGTAAACTTGCTATACTTAAATACACAAAAATGATTTAAAATTACTTTTGGAAGATCAAGAGAGTTTGTAAATTATGATTATTGTATAAATAATGTACCTTTAGAGGCACGTCATAATATTAAAGATTTAGGTATAAATTTTGATTCTAAACTAACTTTTAAACATCACATTAACGAAACTTCAGCTAAAGATTTAAAAATGTTATGATTTATTCTTAGAAACTGTAATCAGTTTTCAGTACAAACTTTAAAAATGCTATACTTTAGTTTAGTTCGATCAGTTTTGGAGTATGGTTCTCTCATTTGGTCTCCTTCATACAACAGTGACATCAACAGTATCGAGAGAGTTCAAAATAAATTCTTGAGGGTATGTGCTTACAAAATTGGTTTTATTAGACAGCAATACACATATGATGATATACTGTCAATACTAAATATCTCATCACTACATGATAGAAGATGTCAAGCGGATTTATGTTTCCTTTTTAAAATTATAAATGGATATGTTCAAGATCCAGAGTTACTAATTGTGTACCAGAGTGGTTTATAATCAATGGTACAGATGCAGGTGGTGCTTAGTAACGACGTAGGTTCGGGTATACCCCCTACTAAGAAACCGGCTGGCAAATGGTTATGGGTTACTGATGGCCTAGAGGAGGGAAAAGTCGTTGAAGTGAAGGTGCTGTGATGGAAGATAGTACCTGCACAAGAAGATGACCACCAAAAGCTACTGTGCTGTGATTGTGAATGAGGTACAAACTTTTGTTATTTTTTCGATTTTTCAGAAGTTTTTCACAAACTATTATAAACTTTGTTCTTTCTTTACACTAATGTATTGTATTGTATTTCTGTTTTGACAATGTTGTTTTTTAAAATAAATTTCTTCACTCTACAACACTCCTGTGTTTTATTTCTGTGTAAGAAATGTTACTTTACAACTGAACGTGGATGATACGCAGAGTGTTCTTCGAATAGACTGGTCGAAGACCCTTTGTAAGGCTCCGTGGATTTGTATAACTAGCCATACGTTAACAAGCCCTTACATCCAATATGGTGATAGTTAGATACCTTTATGACACTTTGTCTACGCTTAACTTCTTTCAACAACGTTTTTTAATGTTGTTTTTAATGAAGAGCAACTTTTTATGATTGGTTTTCAAACGTTTTGGAAGTTCGTCGCTTTTTGAATGCTTAACACCTTTTAATAACCCATTTTCAATGCAGTGTAGCGCATTTCTACACGTTCAAGGAATAAAGGGCAAACAGTAATAAAATGTTTTTAATATTTACTCAAATTAATTACAACAACGTTTTTTTCATGACACTTTAAAACTTGTTCGTTGAATTTAAAGCTTGTTTGTCGATTTTTAATGCATTTTCGAAGCTTAACATCTTTCAGCAACGTTTTTATCAAATCTTCACAAAAGTTAATCGGTTTAGATGAACATTGACGTTTTTATCTTTCACCAGTTGACAGAAAAGAGCTCCTAGTAAACTAATGTCTCTATAAACACTTCAGGGAGTTTAAAATTGATCTACAGTAAAAAAATAGTGTTTTCTAAATTGCTCTTTTAGCTTTGATTCCCAAATGTATGATCCTTCTCTATCAATTTCGCTGTTTTGTACGCACACCCTGTACATATTAGTTTACAGATTTGTATATACAGTCATGATCGAGTTTCAATCGTCGGATTGGTTAAAAGTGGGATATAACTTAAAATCTGTCACTTTTTTATCGTCAATATAAAGGTAAGAATCGCAGCAGTCAGTACACAGAAAGACCTTCTCGTGTGGCAGCCTGTCACATTTTTTGACCATCCATTTGACAACCCTTTTCAGACAAAGTGAACACATATTGTTTGAATCTTTGTTGTAGGCCAATATTTTGGGATACGTCTTCGAAACCAGGCAGTCCCTGGACTGTAGCAGTCTGGCGTCTGCAAATACGAAGATGTGTTCGCAGTCTCCTTGGTGGATATAGACGTACGGGTATCCCAGTCGAGGTTTCAGGTCAGAGAAGCGAGTCTGAAAAAAAAAACAAATTATGCGATATAATTCATTGAACGATTTTAAGTTTTCTTTGATACTTTATCTTTGATAGCTCGCATTTTTAACAGTCGGCAACCTTAATTTGCGACCATTTTTTCTCAGGCAACCTTATATTATGATATTAAGAAATAAAATAGCTTTAATTTGATATTAAAAACATGCATACACGTCACAAGCAGAGTATTTTATTTAAAAACTTAAAACAGTTTTACTTCCATCGAAATGATGACACTCTAATTAAAATATAAGGCAAACTAAAGAATAACGACCAAAGTTTTTAACAAATAAAAATTTCCTATACATACTTCTTCCATTTTAGCTGTGGTAAATTTCCCGATCTTCTTATCAGCAGCCCATTTAATAATTTTTGGAGACAGGTCTATGGCCTTGGCTTGCCTCATGTCGTTGTAGAAAACTCCATCGATAAACAGCGTTCTTGACGGATACCATCTCTGTCAAAAATTGTTAGATTAAATTTCTTAGGGTTTAAATAATTATATATAATAATATACTAGTAACTAAAGACCTTCAAATATCATAATTTTCGATGTTCCACTCATTCTACGTTACTGTAATTGAAACGCCAGAGTAAAACGTACAGCAATTTATTGTTTTTATAGTTTATGAACTGAATTAATACTCACTAAGCCTGTCAGAGTTGTGTGTCTTTCAGGGTGTGTAAAGTTGTAAGCCAGTTACAAATTTCTGGGTAGTTTTGTCAACTAATATCGATACTCCGCTCCAGTGATTTGCGTCATTGTCATTAACAGAGTAGTATATCTTTGTTTGGCCTACTAATATGTCACCTGAATTGGGCCATCTGGTCTCACTAGTCATAATATTTTTATGTCAAGTCTTTCCATTTCCTGAATGACATTATGGACTTTACCAGTTTGTTATATTGACTTACCATTCCACGTGCTTATCTTCATACACTTTCTCTCTATTGTAGTCTTCTTTTTGGACGATGTATTTTGAATGGGTATTTCACAGGGATTTCGTTTGATATCGACCTGAGAGGCCCTGTGGTCTATGTGTGATTTGCCTCCCCTGTCGGATCTTCGCCTCCGATATCCATGATCAGTAACAGAGTTACTTTTTTGTACAGCCTTTTTGTAGAACCTTTAATGTAGTGGTTTCCCCTTGCCCCTCGATTTGTTTTGTTCTTCCGCCTTCGACGGCACAAAAGAGTGCCCTACCACTTACTTACTCATCTCATCCGTCCGTCATTGCTTATACCGGCAATCACTCTCACATAAACTGGCTACCCTCACTTAGTTTAGCCTGCAGACCAATGCAGTTACTCGGAGTGTGGCACGTGGAGTCATAAGTTAAAGTTAGTTGTCTTATGCGGACCACTTATCAAGAACCATCTCCCGTCTATGACGCTTGATGTGTTCGTTCCGATAAAAGGTGCTACCTCTATAACATTAGTAACATATCGTCCAAAAAGAAGACTAAAGTAGACAGAAAGTGTATCAAGATAAGCACGTGGAATGTTATGTCAATATAACAAACTGGTAAAGTCCATAATGTCACTCAGGAAATGGAAAGACTTTACATAAAAATATTAGGACTAAGTGAGACCAGATGGCCCAATCCAGGTGACATATTAGTAGGCCAAACAAAGATATACTACTCTGGTAATGACACTGATGCAAATCACTGGAGCAGAGTAGCGATATTCCTTGACAAAACTACCCAGAAATTTGTAACTGGCTTCTTACCCATCTCGGATAGAGTTATGATGGTAACACTAAAAACAGCTCAATCTAGAGTCAATAAAATTCAAGCATATGCTCCCACAGCAGAAAAGTCAGGTGAAAAATGATCCTCGAACAGTTTTATAATGAATTACAAGCTTTAGAAGTAACCAAGTCTAGAGACGAGAGGATACAAGTATCCCGTTTGAGAGATCCATCAACAAAAGAGCAAGTCACACTAAAAATTAAAGAGCTCACCAAAATAGAAATTATTCCTACTGAAAACCCGAACAGGAAATGGCATATGTTAAAAGATGCTTTTATACGCACATGTGAGACAAGACTAACACCTAAGCTGATCAAGAACAAAAATGAATGGATGACCAATGAGATTCTGGATCTCATGGAAGCAAGGGGATCTTATAAAAGCAAAGACAAAAATATGTATAAAATTATACACACAGAAATAACGAGAAAGATCAGAGATGCAAAGGAAAGATGGTATAGTGGCAGATGCGAAGAGATTGAACAGTTGGTAGAGAAACATGATAACTTAAATATTCATAAAAAAAATTAGGGAAATAACAGGCACTAATTAAGAAAAAATTAAACATACTGCAGGATAAAAACGGCAAAATAATTATAGACGTCGGCGTCGGTGAAAGGCTTCAAAGATGACAGGAATATATTCAAGAGTTATTTAAAGACGAACGGACTGAGATACTGAGATAGTACTAGAGCAGGGAAAGTTCAACAACGGCCCAGACATAACAGAAGATAAGGTATTAGAGGCGATAAAGCGAACAAAGAACAACAATGGCAAATTCCAACAGAAAATTGGAATAATGGCAGACTTATTCAATACAATATACAGTACAGGAATCAATCCCAGAGATTGGCTGATGTCAACATTTATAACGCTATAAATGTTATCTATAATCAATGTCATTGATTATAGATAACCAAGCCTCAGATAAAGAGATATACCCTTTCGGTAGTCAACCGAAAAAAAAAAATGGTATATGTACCTACTCAAAACGGTTGAATTATTAATCCTAGTTTTTTGAATCCGGTTCTTTTGGTTCACATCTGTGGTATGTTTAAGATAACGATTAAATCACCTCTACATTATATTAATATCAATAAAACAAGGAATCGTATTAAAGTACTATTACTGTCTAGAATACTAAAAATGGCACATTTTCGACAATTTTTTTGTATTCTATTTATTATAAGGCAAGATTTATGACTGCATAATTTCTATAAATATACATACTACATACTAACCCTTGCATCCTTGAATTTTTGGATGTCGACCTTGGTGTTTTCAACTTCGGGCAGGATCATTGAGTCCGAAGGGCACTCTATTTTATCTACAACTGCAGTTAAATAACTGCTACCCAATATATCCATCTCGTTCTGAAATCTGAGCTTCTCTGAAGAATTACGGGTGCCTTGGTGGAAACTAAAAGGTCTATACCATATCATGGTATAAATAAATTCGCTTCCTGGAACCAAATCCTCGACTTCGCCTATGTGATCCGGTTGTGGCTAAAAATGAAGTTTTCATAAACATAAAGAGTATTGGAATTTTGTACTAGGCAACACTGGCTCACAATGTCTTTAGTTGATTGCGGTTGTCAATTGTCAATAGTAAATATATATTTCTAGAATGTAGCACATGTTTAGTTTTTAGTACTTTTGTAGAATAAAGTAATCAAATAATTCACTGTTATCTCTGTATTACCTTTCTGGGAAACAACAAATTTTAATAGGTTATGGGCACCCAGACAGGCAAAAAAACAAAGAAGCAAAAAGAAAGTGTGAAATATAAAATGGCTAATGCAATAGTGAATGTTCCTCAGCTGACAAATGCTACAAATTTTAACAATTGGAAATTCAGAGTAACCATACTACTGGAAGAAAGACAATTTATTAGATGTATTGTAGAAAACTGAGAAAGACTACAGTGAAACAACTGAGAAAGCAGAGTTTAAACTAAAAGATTCCAAAGGTAAAAGCACCCAAATATTTAGGTGAATATGAGACTTATTCTAGACTATGCTATGAAGATTCCATAAAAGATCCAGAATGGGTAGAATCTATAAGAAAAGAGCTACTCTCACATGAAAAGCTAAGTACATGGGCAGAAGTAGAATTACCTAAACATAAAAAAAGTTATCAAACAAAATGGGTTTTTAGAACAAAGGATGATGGAACTTAAAAAGCCAGAATAGTAGCCAAAGGTTTTCAAATTAAGGAGGAGAGTGAATTTGAACCAAATTACTCACCAGTAGCAAGAACATCAACAATTAAGCTATTTTTATCAATAGCATTACAAAATGATTGGAAAATCAGACAAATGGATATCCCAACTGCATTTTTAAATGGATTACTTGAGAATGATGTCTATATCTATGCACCAGAAGGACTTACCATCAAAAAATCAAGAGTATTAAAATGGAATAGAGCTTTATATGGCTTAAAAGAATCATCAAAGGTATGGAATAATACATTCAAAAAATTTGTTACTCAAATTTTGAAAGATCTATGTATGATTGTTGTTTAAACAATAACAAAAACGTTTGGATATTAATATATGTAGATGATATATTATTAATAGGAGAAGATAATAATGTTAAGTGTATTATAAAAATATTACAAGATAATATTCAGGCAAAAGATTTAAAAGAAGTTAAAAAATTTTTAGGTATGAACATTACTAGGACAAAGGATACTATTAAAATTGACCAAGAAAGATTTATAGAAAAACTTTTGGATTATTTTAATATGAAAGAATGTAAACCAAAGAAGACTCCAGTGGAAAAGGGATTTCAATACATTGAAGACAGTGAAATTCTAACTAATATTCCTTACAGGCAATTAATTGGAGGACTGATGTATTTATCAACAACAAGTAGGCCAGACATTAGTTATGCAGTGTCATATGTGAGAAGATTTTTAGATTGTCCTACTACAGAGACATGGAATGCTAGAAAAAGAATTTTAAGATATCTACAAGGAAGTAAGAAACTGGGATTAACTTATTATAAAAATACAGACTGCCAGATAACACTCAATGGATATTCAGATGCGGATTGAAATTAAATTTACCCATAGAAATTACCAACATTGTTGTACTCATTGTGTCAAGTAAAATTGTCCAGCATTATCAACATTATTTTTCAGTTCTAAATTCCCTGCAGCTCTTTTAATAAATAATAATACAAAAAAAATAATACGAAATGATAAAGCCACATAAAGTGTACCAACAAAAAACATGGCCACCGCCCACTCCAACAGTAATAAAGAAATTAAAAACACTTACCATTATAGATTTTATAAACCTCTTCGTACCAAGAAGAAGACTTATAGCACTGGACTTTTTATCGAAACTTTCTTTAACTTTTATAACATTCAAGTGTCTTGCTCCGTCAGTTATTGGCAGAATAGGACTGAGTTTTGTTTTTGTAGCTATATTATTTGGTATGGATATAGGCAGGTATGTAGGCTCGTCTGGGTCTCGAAAGTTATCTATGCTGCAAAAAAATAATTGTAGAACCAAATATGATCCAAAAGATGCATATATGATGATTAGTGACTATTTTAATTTTATACTTTTCCAGTTTAGCACATTCTTTTACAATTTTGTTTGGTTTATTATTAAGCTTCAATTTCTGTGTAAAAAATTCTAATTTATATCAATTTGCGATTTTTTGTATATATTTTAATAAAAATTTGTTTCACCTAACTTATTTAGGGTTATTTCTTGTAATAGTGAACCTCAAGTCAAATATTTGCAAAGACAAAACCATGTGATCAATTTCTTAACATTAGTTATAAAAAATATGTTTTTATAACTATATTTCAGTTGGCAGGCAGTTGTATATAGATAAAAGATGAAAATATATATAGGAATGGAAAAAAATTATCTTACTATAGGGCACTAAGACAATGCAACAAACTGGGAAAAAAATAATATATCGACTTGTATGCCAGAGGGAATAACATACTACCACATATCTGTGATAGACTCGTACAAACTATAGCAGTCTTGTCTGTATACTGCTGCTGAAAGAAAGTTTATTTTTTAGATGATCTGGGGAAATATTTCAACTATGTGGTTACAAGATTTAAAACCAGGTTTATATCTTAGATTAAATCACCAGTTTCAAAAAGTCAAAAATTTCAAACAAATTTGTAGAGCAGACCTGCTCTCAACACACAAAATCTGTTCATTTAAGAATACTTTATATAATAAAATGTTACTCACTTGCATACATGTTTAATATAATCCAAATTAACCATATTGGGTTTGATGTCACCTATTAAGCCATGAAAAATATTTTCAGCTGACTCGTGTGTTGGCATGCACATGGCACTGTATGCACGAAAGTATTCAGGAGCATTGAAATTATTTGAAGCATGAAAAGTTTCAGGCGGATACAAATTCATGATTGTAAAATAAAACCTGAAAAAAGTAAGATCTGTAATTTAAATAGTAAAATAAAACTTGGGCAAATATAATAATTAATTCTGTATTTGTTTATATTAATAAGAGTTCCTTTAAAATGCGAATTTTTTTGGACTTATCCTAAAAAATCGAAAAAAAAAAGACAAAATTTTCATGTTTAAGTATATCTACAGAAACATACAAATGTAAAAAAAATTGAAAAAAGTTTATAACAACTAAGAAATCGAAAATTGGCAACAGAAAAATGTTATCAAAATACGAAATAGCCTTAGTAGTTATATAAAATTTATAAACCAATTAAAAATATCAATCATTTTCCCCACTAAATTATTCAAATAATATAAAATATTGTAAGAATATTAAAGAATATTGTAAGGATATTAAAGAATATTGTGAATTAGTAAAAATTGTCTTAAACATAAGAGCAAAAAGATAAAGCCTGCGAAACTGTAGATAACCATTTACAATTATTATGATTGTCATACATTGTTAAGGCAAAATATACTGTATAGTATAAATGTAATATGATCCTGATAAATAATATAATTATACAATCCTGAGATTAAATACAATGCTGATTTATAAATCTGATATAAAAGTCACAATTTTTTGTTGTCATATATTTTCTAAAATGGGGTTTACGCTTTTTAAAATATGCACAAGTGACGATTCCAATTCAATATTATTTATAATGCCATGGGGCCAATATATTATGTTGTAAATTTAAAAAAATGGAACAGGCCCCTAAAATGCCAAAATCACAAAATACCAAAATCTAATTATTATATTGTAGGTCTACTGAATTCTTACCATAAGACACAAATACAAAAGAAATATCACTTTTTTAAAGGCTAAAAAAAACTTAAGAAGTAACATTCCTGATTATTTGTTTATATTTCTGGCACTTGTCAATAAACAATAAAAAAATTCTACAAAAAAAAGATAGGTTATCCATGTTGATAAGAACCAGGGTGAAGTTTGCAACGAGTATTTGTTAATCAATATTCCATAGAAGGCGGATTATTTAAATAATTTATGGAAGTTGAAGAATAAATTAAAAAGATCTAAATTTGTTAATTACGAAATTATATATTTAGCTAAATACCTACTTTTATTTACGGCAAAAGCATAGAGAAAGTGCTGGTGAATTTGGCATAAACGTCATGTCAAATTTGTGTTTGCGGTATTGCCATGCCATGTCCTTATTATGTGTATGTTTTATGCCTCAAATATGCTTTGAAACAGTACATTTTTATTATATTATTTTATGAAATCGGGTAATTTTAAAAAATTTTAAATTTATATGAAACAAGAACGAATGAATACCTATTTGTTTCTTGTGATAATAGTTGCAGTTAGTTACTAGAAAAAAAATTATAATTGGCCTTTGGTAAATTAGTAAATAAACTTGACAATACTGTCAAATGTAGTTGCCATATTGCAACAAATGTTTAGCAGATTTCAATTTTATAAATATTTTCCTGTAATTTCGGGATGAAATGGCATTTGAATAAAAGCTTAAAAAATTAAAGTTAATTTAAATTATAATAATTTAAATTTAAATTAATTAAACTTCTTTTAAAAACTTAAAAATAATGTTTGGTAACATTAATTATTATTATATCGCATGTTTTTTCGTGATTTATTGGTGATATGGCAATACTGCCAAGTACAAATCTGTCAGTCATTTGCAGCCAACTTCAATGTGTTGCCCATGCCGGATAATTATCCGATTTTCGGATAATTTCGTGGACCATCGGGTAATTTTCGGATTGAACAATTTGTTTTATAATTTCGGATAATTCAAGGGTCTATCGGCTTTTTATTTTTAAATATAATTTAAATTTTTATAAGCTTAACTAGCTAAATTTGGGAATGTACATAGAACTGCAAATTCTATTCTCATATAATCGAAGATGATGGAACCTATGAATTATTTCAGCGCCCTCTGTTGATAAATAGTATAGTTTTTATTGACTGTATTCAATGACGTATAATATATAGACTACGCAGTCCCCTATTCTCGCTATAGAATCGAGTGTCCGAAAGATCTCGGCTCACGGTTGAAGGTATGTTTATTAGAACAGCGGCGTGCTCATTTATATGTTAATGACAATAATTATTTTTTTAATTAAAATTAAATATTTATGATCTCTTTTTGTTCCCGTCTATAAGAGAAATAATTATTTTGATAAAATAGTATGGCATTTTACTAAAATAGTAAGTAAATAACTATCAACAATTTAAAATAAAATTTGCTTGTCACACAAAATGGAGTACGTCCATGATGTTTTCAAACACAAGATCAACTTCGTGATGCTTCGTAAGAAATCATGAACTTCGTGCATCTTCGTATCAAAACAATAAACAATAACAAAGGTATTCATGTTTTGGACACTTTTTAAAGCGTTCACCGAGTCTATATATTATACGTCATTGACTGTATTACTGTACAAAAATCCAGGGATCTTTGACATTGACAAAACAAAAAATTAATTTCAATCCAAGTCTAAAAGGTCGAAGTAGTCAAGTAATTCCCCTGTGGCACTTTCTCTATACTTTTGCCGATTATGTATGTAAACAATAAGTATTTTTAATATAGGTTTTAAGAGTTAATAATTGGTTAATTTGCTGTATTTATGTATTATTTGTTATTTTTTATTTAAATAAATATATTTCTATCAAACTAAACTTGTTTTCTTGCCATCATTTGTCATATTAATTGTAATTTGTCATCTATCAATGTGTCACTGTCAATTATTCCATTTAATTAGTCTTCTTTTTCGATTTTTAGGAATTCGGATAATTTCGGATATTTTGCTCCCAACATTCGGATAATTTCTAGTTTTACATTGGCAACACTGATACTTCATTGGCACTTTCTTTATACTTCTGCCATTGAAAAGATCTAAATATGCCAATTATAAAATTATATTTTTATAATATTACAAGGTATACATTTACGAAGGTATTACACCTTCGAAATACTCCAGCTTTCTTTGCTTGATGCTTTTTATGATCTCAGTAGTCTTGCTGAGACGTTCTAGCATTGTGGAGTTTCGAATCTAGGAAACTTTTAAAAATTTTCTTCTACTTCAAGTTCCGCTCGTATGGGAGATTTGAAATCATTCTGGCAATTATAATTTTGTTGGATACGGGCCTGAATAGTTCAATTAACTGCATTCAAATCATTCACGGACATTGCGCAGCCACGAGACTTTACGTCTTCCTATGCTTCTTCTGCCTTTGAATTTTACCCTGCATTATATTCCTTAGTAGTTCGTATTTTTCACCTCTTACGATTGCTCCAAATATTCCAATTTCCTGATTTTTATGGAATTTAAAACTTCGCATTGTTTTCCTAGTTGTTCGAGAACTTGTTCGTTTGTTTTGCGATCCATCCATAATATTTTCAAAATACGTCGGTAACACCACATTTCGAATGCTTCTAGGTGTTTAATGTTGGATTTTTTAAGTGTCCAAGCTTCAACCCCGTACAATTCTTCTATAGCATCACATTTCTAAAGCCTAAAGGCGATTTAGATCGATTTTATTCACAGTCCAGGACTCGATACAATAAAGTAAGACCGAGAACACGTAGCAGCGAAGTAGGCTGATCCTCAATGCCAATATAAGCTCTCTGTTACATAACATCTTGGACATCATTCTAAAAGCAGCTCTAGCCTGCTCTATCCTAGATCTAATTTCGCTGTGACTTTCTGCGTTACAATTTAATTGCTGTCTAAGGTAAACGATTTTATCAACTTGCTCGAGTTTGGTATTATTTACATATATAGACGGTTTTATGTGCTGTTGTTTACTTATTACGAGTATTTTAGTTTTTCGTATGTTCAGAACCTGTTTTACTACAACTCTCAAGGACACTATCAAGTAGTGTTTGCAGATCTTCTTCACTAGAAGCTAGGAGTAGTTACTGTATCGTCCGCATATCGTAAATGATTGATGACTTCACCGTTCACAAGTAATCCTTCTTGTTTTTCAGAAAGTGATTTTCCAGTATAACCCGACAAACGAGAGCTGGCGGGTTGCGTGTAGAAGAAATTGAAAAGTGGAAGGGATTGCTCATTTCTATTGCAGTCGGCTAGGAGTTCACATCGTGTATAACCGTTTAAGTACCTATACCACAGAATAATAAACAAACAGAATATCCACTCTCCACGGAAAATTAAGTACGCGCATCTCCTCCGCGCAGACGTTCCGCCATGTTTTAGGAGGATTTTAAAGAAATTAGTGTTGTTTATGTGGTGTGCATGGAAAAATTAACCAGGTTTATTTGACTTACGGCAATCATAGACATACTATACAATTAACATTGTTAAATATAATAATATAAATATAATATAATTAAACATAAATATAAACAATTACATAACCACACAAATCATATGTCTGTGTCCTCCTAAAACATGGCGCTCGTGCTGAAAAACTTCAAAGGCGGCATCTGAGAGTGGCCCTTCTGATTGTTTATTATTCTGTGCCTATACTATATACCTATAATTGCGATTAAGTACCTCCCCTATCTCTCTTAGAATAATTCCTTTTCTATTTTCGCGCAGCTCACCCGCCAGCTCTCGCTTGTCGGATTATACTCCATTATAGTGATTGGCATCGGTATTTCCGGCGTGGTACACTTGATATCTACGTCACATACTCCTGATCCCGGCTATCGCATTTCACTTATTCAAAACAACTGTTCTAACCAAAACGCACTTCACGATAAAAAAACATGCAGAAAAATAAAATACATAGATGACAGATATCAGATATGCAAATTCATAAGCACAAATTCCAATAAAAAGATGCGTCAATAGTCGTATAAGAAATAGACAACAAAAATAGCAGATCTCTTCTTATTAAACTAAGAAAACTGTAAAGCAATCACATCAATAGAGTGTAGCAAGATTTGGTTACCAATACTGATGGAAGAAGTAAGCAATAATAATATACTAGCACTAAGGAG